AACCTTATTCCTTGAGGACTCGTAGGGTACAAGTAGACAATTCTGTAAAAAAAGCTTGCAGATTTAAAGACAAAAACACATGGCACGACACAAAACAAGAGAAATGGGATTAAAATGAAACTCAACAAGATAGCCGATGGTAGAATAAAAAATGGACAAAAAATAAGAGTTGTAGAGAGCTTTAATACTCTAAATAATATTATACGTCGTCTGTTAATATTTTGCAAAGTTAAAGGCATTGGTGTCAGACGTATGCTAACTAGGGTTCTACAATCCCTTGTGCATAGTTGCCTTGATCTCAATCTAATATTGGTTGGAACTACAACATCACTTGTTATAAATTTATTTATTTGATTACATCCTAAAAAAATGTAAATACAAGCTTTGTTAAGATTGTCATGATCATACAGAGTATATGATCACCTTTTTTTATTTGCTAAGTTGTAATCCTAGAACAGTTAATTTGATTTGCTATATTCGACGATAAGGTAATTTGTTAAAATTCAAGAAAGACTTAATCATAATTTGCTATTTAAAATTTCCACGAATATTTTAGCTTTAAAATGAATGGACGGCAAATGATTTAGGCCTCAAAATTACATTTGTATTTTTTATATTAATAGAGTCAAATTACTAATTTGTTTTATCTTCATAATCCTTTCAACCAAAAGTAGTTTGTATAGAATTATACTTAACGTTAATAAGAAGTAAAATCATCAATGTTATGTTAGAATTTATATACACATGATAAATTTCTCAAAAAAAAGAAAAAGAAAGAGAATATATATATATATATATATGCCTTTTATTTCTTACTATATTTATTATAATGATTATACTAAATAAGTTCTTAAGTTGTAATTAATAAATAATTATTTAAATATTTAATTTATTTATTATGTTTATTATATTTTAGTGTTTTCCATATACATAGGTCTTGAAATATTTATTACTATTTTTGTCTTTTATCCTATATGCATCTTTTGTCTAGTAAATAACTTATTCAAAATAATAAATGTATTTTACTAATAAAATTTCAAGATAAAATATCAATCACTTATAATTTTATTTGTGAAATTAGCATTGGAAATTAACTTTCTTGTTATTAAATTATTATTGCAAAAATTCAACAATAATATTATTGAGAAACAGAAGCATGCATTATGATTTATATAAGTATTTATTAATTAAGTCAAATTTTAGATACTAATTTTATAATTTAGATGTTTCAGATTAAATTATCAAATTAATCGTTAAAATTTAGTATTTGTTCTAATTTAATTTTTAATTTTTATCAAAATTTTTTAAATGAATAAAAAATAAAATTTAAATTTAAATAGGCTTTAACGATTTGATAATTAAATTATTATGTAATTGAAGCTACAAATTTTTTCTAATTTTAGAAAATAATTTTTTTTGTTATGTTGGATAATTTAAATCCTAACTTGCTCAAAAGGTGAGAGGGTGGTCATGTGAGCAACGTGAGGAAACGGTCGTTACTTTTGTTTTATTGTCTAACCCTCAAAACTACCGTGGCTCCAGCTGCTTATACGTTAGTTTCCACTTCCTCACGTGAATCCCGTCTTCTCTCCGATATATATATATATATACACACACACACACACATAGATCTGAGAATGTTGAAAAAATGTGTTCATAATTAAATTTTTAAGTAATTTAAAATATATCAATTTTTATTTTAAAAATAATAAATAATAAACATTTAAATGAAGTATTAATTTCAAACAATAAACAATATTTATAATTTTAATAAAAAAATATTATTTACTCTAAATATTTTTATAACTTGAGATTATATTAAAAATAAAAAAAATTAAGATTAAATTGTAGACTTATTTTTCACTTCTTAAACTTATATTTAAAATACTAATAAATAATTTATTTTGAAAGTTATGGAACACGGAAATTAATTTAAATCTACGGATAATTTCTGAAACTCTCTACACTGACAGTTGATAAGAAAACACCGTTGAATCGCTGATGGAGCTCAAGTATTTAGAAATTCTAGGCCCACTCATGCAAGCCAACTGAGAAACACGTATACAGCACCGTACACGTGTCTCAGCAAATAAACAAACGGCCAAAATTTGTGACTTCACGAGAAGCCCATGGGCTAATCCATATGCCATCTTTTCTCCACTTAGACCCGTTTCATTAGCCACTGATGAAACCAGAACAACCCCAGAGCTAAACTGGTTTAACAACCGTGCTTGTGTTTCTTTCTACCCGGTGAAGAAGAAGACAGAGAAAAGAGAAAAAACAAAGACCACCCCCCCCAAAAAAAAAAAAAAAAAAAACAGAAAAGAAAAGCACCTGCTAAAAGGTATTGCCTTTTATTTCCGTCTTCCTAGTATGTTTATTTTTTTTTTTTGAAGATATCCTTTGCGAGGTTTTTCATATATTATGATGGTTGATATTCTCTTCGTCAATTTAACATTTGGGTTATGTTGCGATCATTTGAGAAAATTAGAAGAGAAGATGAGAACAGAGAAGGGAAATCCAGAAGAGGATGAGTACGAAGATGAGGAATTCGGTTCCAAGAAAGAAGGTCCATCGTCAAATGCTCCTGCAACAGCCGTTAACAATAATAATAATAACAAAAATAAAGGTATCATTAGATCTAAATTAAAAAAGATCCCTCTTTTTGTTCTTATTATGTGATGAGTTTTTCTTGGTTTTGTTTGTTTATGGATTTTATAAAGTGGGTAAAGTCTGATTTTTTTTTTCTCTCGTCTGGGTTGTTGAGCCTTTCTTTTCCCAAGGATAGACTATATAAATTTTTTAATTTGGTTTTGTGTGGAAGTAGACGGGAAGAACAATGATAGGGCTAACGCTATGCGATCCAAACATTCTGTTACTGAGCAGCGGAGGAGGAGCAAAATCAATGAGAGGTGTGCCAATTCTGTTACATTACGTCTTCTTTGTATGACCTTGTATTCACATCTGGTATCTTCTTATTTTTTAGTTGAATGTACAATTCAATAACAAAGCATAATTTTCTGATGATGGAGATATAGAGATTGCCAAGGTATTGTTTTTAAAGCCAGAAAGCAAAGCTGTCTCTGCATAAACTTTCAAAATTATTTAACTAAACAACTTGTATAAATAATGCTTGATACAAACGACTTGTTGCAAGTTTGGAGGAGCAAACATGCTCTCTTTTCAGACGTTTGTGTTATGTGTTTTAGAAGGGAGGAGACCCAGGGTCACCTCTTTCTTCACTGTGATATGGCTTGGGAACTGTGGACTATGTTGTTTGATACCTTTGGTTGCTGTGGGTTGCTCCCCATTCTCTCGAGTATTTCGTGAACTCATCTTTTTATGGGCATGAGGTGAGGAATGAGGCTAGAATATTTTGGAGAGGGCCTCATTTGCGGGTTTCTGGGTGTGGTGGTTGGAGTGCAATTTTAGACTCTTGGAAGACTGACGGTTCCCAATGCAATTTCTTTATGGGCTAAGGCTCATGGATGTCTTAGAGATATTTCTGTATCTTTTTAACATAGAAATTGGGAGAGGGTGGGGGAAGGATTTTGTTTTGACCTTTATTTTATGTTTTTGGCTTGGCATTCTGTTTTTAGGAGAGTTTTGGCGAATTTCTGATCCTATGCTTTTGTATTTCTCGATATGCTCTCTTTACTGATAATATCTTTTCTTTTATCGAAAAGAAAAAAGAAGCGTAGCATGTCGTGCTTAGTTGTGGGACATATTGCTTTACCACATCTGAGAAAGGTTCAATGATGTTAATTATTAATTCCGACTTCTTTAAAGTTTCTACACCATTGAGCTTGATGAACCATGGCATGTTGATTTTCAGATTTCAGATATTGAGAGATCTTATACCCCACAGTGATCAGAAGAAAGATACAGCCTCCTTCCTTTTGGAGGTATATCAAAGAATTTTGCATTTATTATGGCATTCGTTGAATTTTAGTTTATGAACTTTGCTTTTTTTGTCAACTGACTATTGTTATTCTTTTGCAGGTCATTGAGTATGTCCACTATTTACAGGAGAAACTACAGAAGTATGAGGGTTCATATCAGGGATGGAGTCCGGAGCCCACAAAGCTGGTGCCATGGGTAAAGTTGCGAAAAATCAACTGTTGATCTTTTTCTGCTTATTGATAGTTTGTTTTTTATGGGTCTAAACGTTTCTTCATGTGTTGAATGGGCTGCATCTTACACAGTTTGTGGCTTTGGCAAGGAGATGGTCTTTCAGTCTTAGTTACTTATCATTATTTGAGCATATTATCTTTGTTTTCAAGATATATAAGTGTAATACAGTTCTTTTGTAACTATTTACCGAAATAAATCGAGTTGCTACTTTGAGATGCTTTGGATAGAGAGTGGTGCAATTAAAGGCCAGATATACATGTAAAAGTATTTGGTCCTAGAATCTTTAAACCTTTATGATCCATTAATGACAGCTAATATGGGGATTTACGGTAATGTAAATACAAAAAATGATCTTTGTCGAGAGCATCAAGAATTTGACTTTGTGCATTGACATATTGTACCTACAATTTCTTTTGAAAAGAAAAATAAATATTTTAAACATAGGCAGCAAGGGGTTGCTACCTACGTAAAATGGAGACGGAAATAAAAGGTCATGCACAAGAGAACCAAACAAAAGATTCCCAAAATCTTCTCCATTAAGGAGAGTGTGGCCTTTAAACAAAATAAAGAAGTTACAAGCTAGTGGTCTCTAAGACCAAAATTAGATACAGCTCCCCTAAAAAACTTTCTATTAACTCTCTGCTTCATTTGTTCAGAAAATGGTATGAGAAAAAGGCCCAGAAGCTTCTTTTTTTTCTTGTGAGCTTTAATTTCTTTTGAAGCCGGCAACTTGACCTTAACAGAACCGCTTACCATCCACTTGATACCCATTAAACTAAAAGTCGAATTGATGCAAGAACAAGATCCAGAATTGAAATAGTTTTATATTAAGAAAGGTCCATGTAATTATTGTTTTACTTAGTATTTTTAGTTTATTATTTTGGTAGATACTTGAAACTTAGTGTATTTATGCAGGTATAAATTATAGAAACTTTTAATTTTCTCCTTTACTGTTTTAATATTTTCCTTATTAGTTATAATTAATGCCTTTAAAAAGGCAGTAACAATCAATAATAAGAAGATTGATAGTAATGGACTAAGAATTTCTTTCTTTAAGATTTTATTTCATGTTATCTATCTATCTTCATTCTTGTAGTTATTATTCTGCATGACGAGTTTTGTTCAATTTATTTTTCCCTATAAAGTTAGTCTAATGGCTATTCGTTTTTCATCAATCGGTATTAGAGCCTAACTGCTACCCATGCATCTGCCGAAGATCTACTATTTGGAGGAAATAAAGAAAAAACAATTGTTCACAGCACAACTTGGCAGTCTAAACCTTTCTTGAAAAAAGAAAAACAAGAAGGGAACATATTTGGAAAACAATCTAGAAGTCTCCCATATTGCATAATACCTCCATCATCTCAAGTCGCTCACAATGTCTAGAGAGGTTCAAGCGGTCCATACTTGGAGCCACAGCTGTAAACTCTGCTTGAAAGCTCTTC